GGGGGAGAGGGGGAGAGGGGGAGAGAGAGAAGCTCAGAAACAGACTCCTAATTATAGAGTTACCAGAGGGGAGGGCAATAGGGGAAGGGTGAAACAGGTGATGGAGATCAAGGAGTGACTGTCATGATGAGCACCAGGTGATGTACAGAGTTGTTGAATCACTATATTCTACACCTGAAACTAATATAACACTGTATGTTAACTAACTGGAATTAAAATAAAAACTAAAAAAAAAAGAACACAAATCTATTGGGAAAGAGACTGGGGAAGAGGTAGAGCCAAGCTTAATTTTCATCTTTCATAGTAGGGAGTCAACAGATAATTTCAGAAAATACTACATCAAGAAATAGCAATGCTAGCATATTATTTAAAGACATGAGGCAATCACCATAAGAATAAAAACACAAGTGACTAGAACAGTTAAAAATAATTTTCCCTCTTGGGAGTGGGGACTGCTTTTCGTTATTAACCCTTCTCTACAATTCTTTTTTTTTTTAAACGTATGGAATGTGTTCCAATGATGAAAACCTTAAAAACTATGTTTGCAGAGGTGGTGTACACAAGGTAGGACAGAGTCCTCCTACAAAGAGTTCCTTTGTAAAAGTCTTTGTTCAGGAGTGGGGTCACCAGAATGTGTGCAGAGTCCCAAGCCTCTCCTTTCTTGTGAGGCAGCTTTAAAAATGGATGGATTGGGACAGGGTTTCTGACAAAAGGCCCTCTCTTCATTGGCATCATCCTTTGGACTGCTGTACAGAGTTCACATGCGGCCAGACTGAAGGAGAACCAGCTCAGAGTGGTCTGTTGGTGGTCTTGCTGCTGCCACCTTTTGTAGAATTTCCTCTCTTGACCACCCCCCGCTTTCTCATTCAGATGTGGGCCACAAGCCTTAATGGGTAAAGGATGTTTGCACTAGGAGATTCGTCCTCCTGAGTCTCAGTTCTGATTGGGCAACTGAGTGTTCGCATCATGGAAAGTCACAATATTTCAACAATCAATTGCCCCAAAGCACTTGAGCAGACAGTAATGACCGTATATTGTATGAGGAGCAATTAAACCACGTCTGTATCTTTAAATTTAGTTGGCATGTTTCTTCTCACCATACTGTCATCTTTGTGATTTACTCTGTGCCCAAAATTACTTGTCTCACAAGTTGATGTCAGGCTCTCTGTTCTCAACACCACGTAATTATAGTCGGAAATGGGGGAGGTTGAAGCGGTTTGGGAGTAGCATGGCACAGGGCAATGGTTTTCAGATTGTTTTCAGTGGCATCCTGGGGTGCTGCAGAGACACCTCCATGGTGGCGCTCCAGGGAGTGGGAGGGAGTATCCAGGACTCTGGATTCCACCTCATTCTCACTCGAATCAGAGTAGCTGATCCTATCCTGTCTTATGTTTTGGGAGAAAGAAGGTTCCAGAAATAACACCCTGGAACTCACTGGCGCTATGAAATAAACACCGGACTAGCGATCAGAAGGGTCTGGGTTTGCACATTATTTCTCTCATCTTCTTGATGGCTCTACAATTATGAGTAATCCTATGACTTTTGTTTATTTGTTTCCAGAGTTTGGCTTTATTTTGCACTACAAAAATCACTGGAGGCATTTGAGACAGACATCATTGAAAAGGAGGCTCTGTCAAATCAATACGACATCGCAGCTTGGTCCGTGGAAGAAGCCACACCTGGGATACAGAAGAAGATTCTATGTTTACGTGCTTTACGATAGGTTTCTTTCCCCTTTGTTCTCATGAGTTTTATAAGGTTAAAACACCGCACACAGGCGTCCTCCAAAATGACTCTCAGGGTCTGGAGTTGGGTTAGAATTTTAGGCCCATGTAACCCCAACTTGTGGCTGTGTTCCATGGGCACTGTCATAATACTTGACAGGACACACAAAATGTAAAGGTGTGGGGCAAACGTGGGGATGCTGTCCCAAGTTATGGAATATTCAATTTGGAATCTCAATGCCAAGGGGCATTTCCAGACTTGCAAAATGGAGATAATAGTCCTACACAACTCACAACCCTGAGATCAAGACCGAGCTGAGGTAAAAAATCAGATGCTCAACCAACTAAACCACCCAGGTGCCCCCTTTCCCCCCGATTTGTATTAAATTGCATACACAGAAGAAACCTGTAAGTAGCCACAGTGGTAACTGCTATTTTGCTGTAATTAATTTCTCTAGAGATAATGATAATCATCCTGAAATCCATGGCTCCCAAAGGCCCACTTTATTTTAAATTCAACCTTTCAGTTTCTACAACATGGAGGAAATAGAATGCAGCAAGGTTGTAAAATTATACAACTCAGATGTGCAAAAACAATTTCAAGTTTGTTCCCTTTGAGCGCTCATTTGCAAGCAGACTTCCTTCTACTCCACCCTCTTTATTTCTCAGGTATCAAGAGGAAAGCTTGATTTTGTTTCTTCACATTATTCCCATTTCGTCCCATTTATGCAGGTTTGCGTCAGTGTAAGCAACTGGTCCAAAGTTCAGCTTCCCATTAGGGGTGATAAAAATCTTTATTTGGTTGAGTAAATGTCTTTAGATAAATCTACTCTATCTCGTAAATGTTGTCTCATCCACCCTTTCTTCTTTGATCTGGGAAAATGGGCAGGACTTACATATCTTCTTGATGGCTTCCAGATAAAAGGTGCTTGGATGGTGCAGTGTCCAGGCCTTTGCTGGCCTCCGAGGCAATGTCCCATGTGTGCTTGGTGAGGTTTGCTGCTAGAGTAGTTTAGGGCTTGGTCAAGTGCCCAGCGGGCTGTCTTTCCTAGTCAACCTCCTGAGTCTATACCTCACCCTCCAACCGTGCCCCTGCCCAATGGGTCCACCCAAGCCTCTGCGGCCAGGTCCTCCCACTCTAGCCCCTTTGGGACTCACAAGGCTCCCAGTTCTCAAGTCAACCACTTATCCGGCTTCCCCAATCCATGATACCCACCTGCGGGAGGGTCTGGGTCTGGTACCACTTCTTGAGAATCAACAGCAGCTTGGGAAACCATACTCCATTTTCCTCTGTCCCAAACATAGTATGTGACCACGTCTCAGACCCCAAAAAGAACAGTGGAACACAGCTAAACGTGCACTCTCATACCTCCAGCTCCTCTCTGGTTTCCAACGACCCTACAAAAAAGGGCAGACTTTGCCCCTCCCCTTCCTGTCTGACAGAACATTCCCCTTCATCATATCCTCTTTCTTCCGGAGGTGTGTCCTGCCTTTGCCACCAGAGTGGAAAGGGTTCAGGAAACAGAAACCAGCTTATCGTGAGGAAGCACAGGCCAGGAATCGTTCAAAAACATTTTATCTGTTACAAGGGGGAAAGAAGTCTCTAGGACAACGATTTGCCTCAGCTGGGAGAAGCTAGGACCTGGTGGAAGAGACCGCCCTTCACTGAGGGGGCTGGGTGCTCAGGTCGCTGCACAGGGCTCGCCCTGCCCTTACCAGCAGAGGTAGGAGGAACCTGGGTCAGGAAGGACCCAGGTATGAGAGGTCTGCATCCCTATTACCCGGCACGGGATCCGGCTCATTAGATTGGCAGGGAATGTTACAGTCAATGGAGTGGACTAATTCTGGCCTTTGCTACTGATTCACTCTTTGGCTTTGTCAAGCTTTATTGGGTAAGTATCTGTTTTTCCCTCTATAAAATACAGCTGATAGGGGCGCCTGGGTGGCTCAGTCCGTTAAGCGTGGCCTTCGGCTCAGGTATGATCTAAGGGTCCTGGGATCCAGCCTGGTGTGGGGCTCCCTGCTGAGTGGGGAGTCTGCTTCTCCCTCTCCCTCTGCCACTCCCCCTGCTTGTGCTCTCTGTCTCTCTCTCAAATAAATAAATAAAATCTTAAAAAAAAAAGGGGGATGATAATAAATAAAACCTACCTCGCAAGATTTTTTCCAAGTGTGAAAAAGAGATGATATTGAATGTCACTTGGTGAACTCAGAAATGTAGGGATAAAAGATTCTTAATTCTTCAATACCCCCAGATAGTAATAGGGTAGTGACTAAAAATAAATGCTTCTTTTCTCATTGGCATTCTTTAATAGAGTAGAAAATGTAAGTTTTTTTTTTCCTTCATGAAATCAATATAACTATTTTCATATTGAAAGAGAAAAATGTGGGGGTGCCTGTCTGGCTCATTCGTAGAGCGTGCAACTTGATCTCAGGGCTGTCAGTTCCAGCCTCACTTTGGGTACAGAGATGACTTAAAAGCAAAATCTTTAAAAAAGAGAGAGAGAGAGAAATGTGTCAGGTGAACATTTTTATTCTTTGAGATCTGGCTCTTAATGCAGTCAAGTCTGCTAATTACTGCTCAAAGCTCATCTTGTTCGACACTCATTCTAACAACAAGATTAGTTTAGAATCATTAGGTAAAATTCTGCCCCAAAATTTGAATTGAGATTTGATTAGAGTTTTGTTAAACCTGGTTGTTAGAATACTGAGCCTTCTCATTCAGGAAGATGGTAGTTTGATTCACTTACTCAAATTATTATTTTTGTCTGAATACTTTTTTTTTAAAGATTTTATTTATTTGACAGAGAGAGAGAGAGAGAGAGAGACGAGAGAGAGAGAGAACACAAGCAGGGGGAGTGGGAGAGGGAGAAGCAGGCTTCCCGCTGAGCAGGGAGCCCTATGCGGGGCGTGATCCCAGGACCCTGGGATCATGACCTGAGTCGAAGGCAGATGCTTAAGGACTGATACACCCAGGCGCCCCTCTGAGTATATTTTGGAGTTTTCTTCATAGAGTCTAGTGTATTTTTTGTTAAGAATTTTATAAGTTTTTTTCATACTATAAAAGAGACTTCTCTGCATCATATTTTAGCTGTTTATAAATGATATAAAGGAAAGTTACTGTGCTCCTAAAAATTTGTCCTATAGTTGCCATAATAAAAATAGCAATAATAAATGATAAAATTATACTAGTATTGAACAGTTGCCAAATGGCAGGCACTATGCTGTGTGTTTATATGTATTTTCCTGTTGAATCTTCACAGTAGCCTTATCGTTACTTGCCATTATTATCCTAATTTATAAATGAAAAAATTGAAGTTCAGTGAGATGAAGTAACATGCCCAGGGTCACCCAGTTCATTACTGAGCACATAATTAGTTCCCTTAGGTTTTCTAGATGCACAATCATATCATTTATACAAAATGAGAATTTTGTCTACTCCTTTCCAAGAGTTCTGTCTCCTGCTTTTGTTTCATACTGCACTGAACTGGTCATAATTATAGTAAAACGTTAAATAATCATCTCTTAAATGTTCCTGAAGCCTCATCCACTGAGTGGACATGAGTATGTATGATGCCAGTCAGCTACAGTAATGATAACAAGAATCCCTGACACTTACGGCACACCAAGACAGTCTGAGTCTAGAATTGATGCTCTCAACCCTGTTACTAATTCAGGAACTACTCTTGCCTGTTCTAGCATGTTCCGTGCCACTCTAGCATGATCCTCATGCTTCAGCCTTTTTTTCTACCATCTCCCCCCAGTTTCCTGGCTTTGTAGCCAGGCTTTATCTCCAAGTCTAGCCCCAGTTGGACTGGTGATCCTGTTTACCCTGGGATCTTATTTGGTACTTTCTTGTACCAAAATGGTCTTCCAATAATGGTCTCTTGGCTCTACCAATGAAATTAAATAAAGAGGTGGCCTATCTCTGCATCTTCTTTAGGCCTCAAGACCCCATCTTATTTAAGCCCACAGTTTCCTTTTACCAACATACACGATCAAAGTCTCTTCCAACTTCCCTTTAAAATATCTTTGAAAACAACAAAAAAAAGAGGAATTAGCAAGATCATTTTGTTAATTAAAAACTCACCATACCTAATGTCAGGAAGAATAAAGAGAAGTGATACTCTTCTACTCTACACTTCCATATTCTTTCTAAAGGGCAACTTGACAGTGCATGGTAAAAAAAAAAAAAAAAAAAAAAAAAAAGAATTTTACATATTCCTTGACCAAGAAATCACACTTGTTGGAATTTATCCCAAGTCATCATGGATGAACACAAATATATTTCTATAAAAGTCTTTATTTCAGTATTATTTATGATGGTTAAAAATTTGTAGAATCTAGATGTCCAACAATGAATGGTTTGTTAAGTAAATTATACTACATCCAGAGGAATATTTCATAACATGGGAAAGTTCACAATATACACTGTTAGGTGCAAAAAGTATAACACTACTCAACATATAGAGTATAATCCTGTTTTTGTTATATAAAGATATATTCATTTTTCTATAACTATGTGACTATAAATATCTATTGTCTATATATTTATGTATCACTATAGAAATCACTACAGAAAACAGAAATATATACCCCCAAATGTTAAATTTTGTAATACTTGTGTCATTGTGTAATTATGAAGAAATATGGTGTATTTCTTCTTTTTGCTTACTGAATTCTGAATTTTCTACAGTTGACATACATTACATTCAGAATAGGAAAAAAAAGTTATTCTTAACAGCCATTTGTTAATTAGGTTTTGGCAAAAAGACACAAACTGTAGGGCTCAAATAAGATAGAAGGGTTCTTAAATCTCCCCAAACTATCTCAAAATGAGTGGCTCAGTGTTATGATGAAGCTGTATTCCCGTTATTCAGGAGCTAGATTTCATTCACCTCGTGCTGCTGTTATCTGGTTTTTATCCTTTCCACTTGGTAGAAGCTGGCTAACTTCTACATCCATATTCTAGCCCACTGGAGAGTCCAGGACAAGTAGATTTGTCTATAAGGAGATGACCTGGAAGTTGCACACTTCATTTCCATTCACTATGGGCTTCATCCTGGTCACATGACCACACCAGTCTACAAGGCAGGCTGTGATTTATAGCTCCCTGCCACAGATACATGTTCCGCTAAATTTGAGGGTGAGGAATTATTACTATAATGAAGAAGGAGGAATGAATACTAGGAATCAATTAATAAACACTTCCCCCAGATATTATAAAGCTACAATAGTTAAAATACTGTAATACTGTGGTACAAGAATAAATAAAATAATGGAGTAGACCAGGTAAACCAGAAACAGGCTCAAATTCATTTAAGATTTAAGCATATTTAAAAAAAAAAAAGGTAGCTTTTCAAATTAGGATGGATGACAGAATGAATTATTCAATTGGTGATGCTGAGAACTGGATAACCATTTGGAAAAAAAAAACAAAATTAGATTAAATAACAAAATGTATTCCAGATGTCTTACATACTTAAAGTGCTATAGGGAAAAATTGATGAAAATGGTGACCAGATTGTACTTCTGCTTTAGTTGGTTCCCCATTCCACAGATCTCTGGGCCTTATTGAGCCTAATTATCTCTTCCTTGACCTTTGGCAACCAGAACTTCAAGTCATATGCCACATGGAAGGCCATGTTTGTATTAGGTCAGAAGAGTGCTTTCCACTTTGTTTTTGTTGTTGTTGTTGTTGTTGGTTTGTTTGTATCCTTTCTTTGATTCCTTTTTCTTTATGTCCACCTTATGTGTTGCTAAATACAATACATAACACTAGTAATCCACATAATGACTTCCAGTTTCCACCTGAGACTACCCTAAGTGCATCTGATTGTATTCTCTGCATATAAAAAGAAGTCTCCAACTCAATAACAACAAAAAACTCTATTAAAAAAAAAGGGCAAATGACTAGAATAGACATTTCTCTAAAGATGATATGCAAATGGCCAAAACATATGAAAACTTGCTTAACATCACTAATCATTAGAGAATGGAAGGACACCTAGCTGGCTCAGTCAGTAGAGCACGCAACTCACAATCTCAGTGTCATGAATTCAAGCCCCACATTGGGCATGGAACCTACTTAAAAAAGAAAAAAACATAGAGAATGCAACTGAAAATCACGATGAGATATCACCTCAAAGCACATTCTACCCACTAATAATAGGATAGCTAATATTAAAAATTAGAAAACAAAACAAAACAGAAAATTAAAGTATTGGTAAGGATATGGAGAAATTGGAACCCTTGTGTGCTATTAGTGGAAATGCAGCTGCTATGGGAAACAGTATGGCGGTTCCTCAAAAAATTAATAAAAATAGAACACCATATGATCGAGCAATCCCACTTCTGAGACACATACTGTATGACTCCATTTGTATGAAGTATCTAAAGTAGACAAATTCATAGAAACAGGAAGTAGAATGGTGGTTACCAGGGGTTGGGGGAAGAGGGAAACAGGGAATTATTGTTTAATGGGTACAAAGCTTCAGTTTTGCAATGAGAAACCAGTCTGGAGACTGGTTGCACAATGTTAGTATACTTAACACCACTGACCTATGTATTTAAAATGGTTAAGATAGTAAATTTTTGTGTTATATGCTTTTTACAATAATTTCTAATAAAATTAATCTCATCACAGAATTTGTGGTTTCAGACTGCAAGAATCAGAAATAGAGATTTCTTGTATCTGAGCCATCCAGCATGGTAGCCACCAGCCATATATGGCCATGTAGCACTTAAAAATGACTATTCCTAATTGAGATGTGCTATAACTTAATAACACACACTGAGGGCATGTCTGGCTGGCTCAGTCAAAAGAGCATGAGACTTGATCTTGGGGTTGTAAGTTCAAGCCCCGTGTTGAGTGCAGAGATTGCTTAAAAATGAA